TCACCGAAGTCACAATGAGGTAGAAGTCGTCGTCCCACTCCCACATGAGCACGATGACGGCAGGGAGCACGCGCACCAAGCGCGTGATGGCATCGCCTCGGCTCAGCCAACGAACTGCGTGAATACCCTGCAGTTCAAGGTTTGTCTAGCAGAACACCTCCTGCAGCTCTTTGAACTCATTGTGAGAGGGATGCGACCTTCCCAGGTACTCCGCGAGTTCCTTCAGCATGGTGTCGATTAGGCCCAGCTCAGGGACTGTAGTGGCGGCGTCCTTGGCTGCCAGCGCCTCTCTGCACGACATGATGTGGGCACGAGAGAAGGGAGGGTAACACGGAGAGAAGGGGAGGTGGGTTTGATGAGGGAGGCGTTGCCTCGAATGTTTCTGCGGGCCGTTGCTGTCCTTCCGCGAGGAGACTATGGAGGAGAGCACCGTCACGTCCGGAGCAGGGGGGGGGGGGGAGGGAAAGGAGGGGGGAAACAAAATGGGTGGGGAATGGCATGAGCTGGTGATCATGTGAGCGCCTGCCTTCCTTGCTGTATCTGCGCAACGTGATGGGCATTCAGATGCAACACACACAGGCAATGAGTGCTACTCACCGATGTGCAATGCAATGGCTGGAGAAGAGGTGCGGGATCCGTACACGGAGCCGAGCCACCAACCCGTTTGTGCTACCCATCATCGCCCCTGCACCATCCGTGCTAATCCCGGCCACCCTGCTTATGTCAACACCTAGTGAGTCAAGGAGTGTCAACAACAGGGAGAGCAACGAAGCGCCATCGCAATTCTCCACCGTCAGTAGCCCGATGAACTCCGTGACCACACGAGAGTCACGGAGAAACATGGCAAACACGATCTGGTGTTTGCCACGCACACGATCCGTACTCTCGTCACAGGTTAGTCCGATAAAAGGACTAGACCGCAACCAAACGTCCTGACGAGCACGCAGATATGTGGCAGTGCTTGCGATGAGCTCGGCAAACCCGTATCTGCATCCAACAGAAGAAGGTAGTGTGGTTTAGCAATGGTGTGGAAGTCGTGAGCATTTTCACTAACAACGATTCCGAGTAGAGCATCGACTATTGATCAATGGCTCACCTGGTGTAATACGCACCGTAGCCATTCTTGGGGAAGCCCAGTGTTTGCCGCTCTGCTAGGTGCCGCACCAGTTGAACCCACATCTCAATCGGTGCGTCACATTTGCATATGAATAGCAGGGTCTCCAGCAGCGCGATGACTCTTTCACGCTGGATGTCCCTAGCCTTTGGGCAGTCAGTGATGCGCTGCTGCTTCTCAGCCGCCTGCTCCGCCAGGGTCTGTCTCTTGACGGACCGTTTGTGCTTCCTAGATCTTTGATGCGTGCGGAATGCCTGGGTTTGGACGTCGACGGCACCTTCGCCAGCAGCGCCGTAGTTTGTGCCGTGTCCTGCGTGCACCATACACAAACTGCACCTCACCGAAGGGAAACCGAAGGAGGTTTGAAAAAGCACGAGCCACGGGAAATCAGTTGACCATTCCCGTTTGTACTTCATAAGCGCCTCCTGGTATTTTTCTTCTGCCTCATCGGTCAGTTCCTCAGTAGTCGAGGATGTTGCAGGAACGGCAGATGGTCCTGCTTCTACTGGCTCTATGCGGATGCGTACGGTAGGTTCTGTAGGACTATCGCGAGAGAAAGACAAGCGCGACTGTTTGTGCTTGGTCGCTTTTAACTTAGCACTAGTGGCAGGGCCGATCCGAGTTGCACCAGGTCCTAAAACATGGGTGGGGATTGTACTAGCACGGGGTGGTATTACTGCTTGAGTTGGAGATGAACCAGCAGCGGGTGAAACTACCGGTAAAGTGGTCACGGTATGGACAGCACGCAAGAAATCTAATCCTGTCAAACCCTGTGGTCGACTAGTTAAGACCGGGTTTGCCGATGATACTGGCGCCGCGACATTTTCCTCGTTGGCCATTACTAGTGCGAGTGAGCCTGCCGAGCTTCACTTGTGTTGCTACTCTAACAGCACAGAGTCACCCACCTAGTTCATGCATGGCACTTGACGAGATGGGAGGGTACTGTGTTTTCCCCGTCTGATGGGTTTGGTTGTTGCGTTGTGCAGGGTCAAAAGTGCAAGGGGATCGCGAAGGCGGGACAAATGCACGGGGAAAGCAATCCGCGGCGGAAATTTTTACGGGGAAGAAATTCTCGGGAAACGGTAACCCCCCCCCCCCCCCCCCCCTCCCCCCCAAAAAAAAAACTCGTCAGGGCAAGGCTCGACATTCATCCTGACGCTACAGGGAAGTACACCACAACCATCCTGATTTTCCAGGGCATGTCATATAAAAACATCCTGAGAGCTCAGGGTAAAAAATGACATTATCCTGAAATGACAGGGCAAAATCAAATATGCATCCTGACTTCAGGGTAATCAGGATGTTTTGCCCTGATATCGTGGGGCCTGGAGGGGGAAGGAGGTTGAGGCTGGAGACCAGGCCAACCCAGTAGATTTAGATGAAGATGATGTAGGAGATAGCGGTGATGAGGATGATATGTGGTTCTAGGTTGGACTTTCAATGTTTGACTGTTTGATGGACTTAATATGACACTATTGCTGCACCATCCCACCCCACCACTGTCTCCTCTCCTCTCCCCCCTTCCCTTAAAACCGGGGTGCACATTCAGCTGAATGTGCATCAAAGGTTATCCCTTGACTGAGTGGGTTACGAGGTGTGCTTTCAACCCCTTCAAGTCGAAATTCGTTTCCCCCCTCCCCCGCAATTTCGTTTCCCCACGCCCCCGCAATTTCATTTCCCCCTCCCCGTCGAAATTCGTTTCCCCCCTCCCCCGCAATTTTGTTTCCCCCCTCCCCCGCAATTTCGTTTCCCCCCCCTCCCGCCAATCTGTTTCATCCCTCCCGCCATTCGGTTTCACCCACTCCCGCCATTTCACCCCCTCCCGCCACCTACGAAATGCCCGAAGCTCTAGCGGAATCATTTTTTTGTCGCCCCTCGTGAGCCAATCACTGTTTTTCTCCAAACCCCCTTCCCAACATCTCAAGCCGAACCGCGTTGAATGTGCACCCTGGTTTTAACATTAAAAGCTTAACCCAAACAATTACATTCATAACTAATGCAACCTTGATGAAGGCTGGTTAAATCAGCCTTAAAAAATGTACCAACCCTGATGATTTTTTTTAGGGTTTAGGGTTTAGGGTTTTTTTATTTTTTTGACAACACTGATTTTTCAGGGTTTTTTTCCTTAAGGACCCTGATAGAAAGTTTTTTTTAGGAGCAACCCTGACGAAAAGGCGTGGCCCAAAACGAATCTGAGGGCCTGGTGTTCATGTGTCTTATAAAAAATGCCGTTTGGTATTGTTCACCTAGACTACTTTTTAAACATATTTGATAAGACCCACGGGTCCTACATATGGGAGATGACGGTATATTGTATTGCACAGGTAGTTGCATTAAGTTTTAAATTTTATTTTTAAACTAATCATAAATATACTATGTTGAAGATTCAAAAAGTGTGTTGCCTGCTATGATGTCATCGCTTCAGGTGGGAGTCGTTTATGCGAATACTTCTCAAGCACGGACTGCATCATGCTCAGCAGCTGATTCACGGTGAATGGCTGGAGGGGAAGGAAGGGAATGTGGAGAATGGATCAGTAACTCCATAGTGAATGTGCTTTGCCTAGGACCATTCAACTGCACATGAAGGACTGAACAACAAAATTGCAATGCCAATGCTAGATCATTGCCATTGACAGATTTCCGATGCGTCAAGGGGTGTCAGGATGTGCGTGTGTGTGTGTTGGGGATGGGTTACCTGTATGCATGTGTGCTTGCTTGCCTCCATGTGTGCTGTGCAGTTCCATGTGGTGTGAAGTGTGTGCCCGTGCGTGCTTGTACATGTGCACATGCAGGATGGCATCACTGTGCACCTATGCATGCAGGATGGCATCACTGTGCACCTATGCATGCAGGATGGCATCACTGTGCACCTATGCATGCATGGAGAGAGGGGGGAGCGGGGGAGAGAAGCAGGTGGGAAGGGTTGAGGAGGTTGAAGTGACCTTGGAGACGAAGCCGTCCATGCCGGCAGAGATGCACTGGTCGCGGTACACATCCGCCGCATGCGCTGTCAGCCCTGCCAACACAGGGCGGGCCCGAGGGGCAGGGGAGGGCGCACTCAGGCATGCACCAGCTCCCTCAACAGACGATGCGTATGAGGATACGGAGCAAGGAAAGGCACAGGGGTTTGCGTTGGATGATGGGAGTGGCACATGTGGATGATAGGCAGTGGCACATGTGGATGATGGCAGTGGCACATGTGGATGATGGGAGTGGCACATGTGGATGATGGGCAGTGGCACATGTGGATGATGGGCAGTGGTACGTAGGCAGCATGGGCAGTGGTACGTAGGCAGCATGGGCAGTGGTGCGTAGGCAGCATGGGCAGTGACAAGTAAGCAGCAGAGTACCGATGACTGGCAGGTGGGGAAGCTTCTCGGCTGTCTCCTTCTCACGAATGACCCGCACTGTCTGAAGCCCGTCCATCACTGGCATCTGTGCCCCGCCTCCCACGCACAACCACCCACAACCCCCCTCCCCTCCCACACCCAACACGCACACACACGCACACACACACACACACACACACACACACACACACACACACACACACACACACACACACACACACACAAACACACAAGCATCAAGATTATGCAAGCAGCACGCTGGTAACTTGTGCTTCAACCAGACCATACACAAGCTGGTTGTACTTCTCGTCTGCACACTGCTGGCATATGTGCACGTGTGGCGGCCCACCTGCACGTCGAGCAGCAGGAGGTCGCACCTGCACGTCGAGCAGCAGGAGGTCGTAGGGCGAGATGCCGCCATCCTTGGGGTAGAGGCGCTGGATGGCCTGAGCGCCGTCACCCACGGCGTCGGCCACCATGCCCTTCTTCTTGAGGAAGCGCACCGCCACCTTCTGGTTCACCACGCTGTCGTCCGCCAGCAGGATGTTCAGCGCAGTCACCGACAGCATCGCCCGTGGGCTCGCCGCACGCACCGGCTTCTGCTTCAGCTTCACACTCGCCTGCCGCCCCAGCCCCGTGCCCTGCCTCGCCAGCCCCCCACCCTGCCGCCCCACCCCCGTGCCCTGCCGCTGCAGCAGTGCCATCCCGCCTGACTTCTGCCGCAGCAGCCCCCCCCCAGCGCGGCGTGCGGAGGACGACGGTGTGGACGGCACGTCCAGGGGAGGCGGCTCTCTGCCGCGCGCCAAGCTGCTGCGCGAGCCGTCGCCTGCAGCGGCGGCGGTGGGGGGTGAGCGGGTGGGGGCGAGGGGGCGAGAGGCGGCAGCTTGGGCCTGGATGCGCGCGTAGATGGCGTCCATGGTGCTGGGCTCCGCCACGCCCGCCGTGGACGCGTCCACGTGAGGGCGCCGCGGGGACAGAGGCGGGCGCGGTGAGATGGCGGGCATGCCGGGCGCAGGTGCATCAGCAGGCGGCCTGAGGGATGGGCGGCGCGAGTCAAAGGTGGGTGTGGAGGGCGAGTGTGAGGGGGAGGTGTCTTCAGGCAGCTGGAAGGTGAGGTGCTGCACTCTCAGCTGCCTTTGCCGCCCCAACGACCCACATGCACCCGCCCTGCTGCTTGGTGCCGCACCTGCTGCTGCTGTGCCCACATCCCCCCTACAGCTGCTCGCACTGCCACGACTGACAGGCTCACACGGGTCTGGGCTGCCATTGCCCAGCGGCTCATCGTGGTGGGCAGAGAAGGACTCCTTGAAGCTCACGCTGGGCCGCATCTCACCTGCTGCCTCCGCCAACCTCCCACTGCCACCCACCGACAAGGGGGGCCCCCTCAACTCCCTCTGGCCTCTCCATCCCACCTCCCCTCTGCCCTCCTCCTCAGATGCACTCAGTCCCTTCAACCGCTCCTGTTCTCCTCTCACCCTCCCCACAGCCTGCTCTCCGCCCTGCTCCCTGTGAGCATCTGCACTCTCCCCTTGCGGTTCCGCCGCGCCTCCCTCCATGGATAGGCGTCCAGCGCTGCCACGCCGCACGCGCCCCTCCCTCCTGGCTTGCTGCGCTGTGCGCGCGGCAGGGGCGTCATCCTCACTGAGCCCCTCGTCCTCCCTCTCCACCACGCGACTCAGCTTCGCCACACTCGCCTCCACACCACCACCCACCGCACGCCCAATGCTCTCCGCACCTGCTTGTGCACGGGGGCTTCTGGGCTCGCTGCTTGCTGCTCTGCCCCCCATGCCCGCCATGCCCCCCATGCCCGCCATGCCTGCCATGGCCCCCACACCCCCTCCTGTGCGAGGACTGCCTGCCATGCGCGCCCCACTGCCACTGCCACTGCCTGGGCTCCACGATGGGAGGCGCGGCACCTCCACCCCAGGGCTGCTGCTCCCCTCTCTGCTCTCCTCGCCACCATGCCCACCGCCACCCTCTCTGCCCGCCACTGCTGCTCCGCTGCCTGAGGCGCCGCCTAAGCCACTCCCGTCTCCCCCTCTGCGCTCGCCCAGCGCACCCACAGCCTGCTCTGGGGAGCGAGCACCGCCCCACTCGCGTGCCTCCCCCCCCCGCATGCACTCCATGGACCGCGTGCGCCCGCGTGCCACCAGCAGGTGCCGCCGCCGCACCGCAAAGCCCTCGCTGCTGCTCCTCTCCAGCTGGCCCGCTGGTACACGTCCCTCCTGCTGCTGCTCCACCCGCTGCCTCTCCTCCTCCTGCTGCTGCGCTTGCTGCGGGTGGAGGGTGCGAGGGCCATGAGAAGCAGATAGATCGAACGGAAACATCCACCCATCGGAACCTGAGGAGCTTTTCGCTGCACCCTTTTCTGCAGCACCCGCCGCTGCCGCTGCTGCCACTGCTGCTGCCGCGGCTGTGCCGCTGACACCACTGTGTTGCGTCCTGTCAGCTCCAGAGCCCGTGTCAGCATGAGCCTCACGGCCGCGGCCGCCACCACCACCATAGCTGCCCCCAGCAGCACCTGGCGCAGCAGCGGCTGCAAGGGCAGCAGAGGCGTGGGCGTGGGGGCCAGCAGCAGCGAATCTGGTGGAGGGAAGCTTGGCGGGCTGCTGCAGCAGCTGCTGGCCCGCCTGCTGCTCCGCGCCTGCCTGCTTCAGCACCTCCTCCAGCATGCGCCCTGTGCTCGCATCCCCGCACGTGAAGCTCTGTGTTCTGCGCCGGCTGCGCCCTGCCCTGCCCTCGCCACGCCTCACCGCCTGGACCGCACCCCCACCACCCGCACCCGCTGCTGCATTCGCCCTAGCATCCATGCCCGCGCCCTCGCCTCCACCGTGCACTGCCACTCCACGCTCCGCTGCCCCACCTGTGCCGGCGTCTGGCCGCCCGGGGAAGCTGAAGCCCATGCGGGCAGCAGCAGGTGCGCGCGCAGAGAGGGGCGCACCAGCGCTGGCAGCACAGGAGGCGGCGGAGGGAGAGAGGGGGGGAGGCAGGGCGCGGGAGGAGGAGCGGTGGAGGACGAGGGAGGGCAGCAGGGAGAGCGAGAGGGCGTCCAGGGCGAGGCGGCCGTCCAGCTCCTCCGCACTCACCGTGCGCCGTGGGGGAGGGGGGGCAGCACGGGGGGCAGCACGCGGGGTGCAGGGAGAGAGGGGCGGCGCAGCAAAGGTCGCAGAGAAGGCAAAGGTGCTGCCGGTGCCAGGTGAAGAGTGCAGCCAAATGCTGCCGCCCATCATGTGAACCAGCCTGCAGGTGGGAGGCACACAGACTTCAGCGATCGACATTGCGGCTCCACCTGCCTCTGCCTGCCTCTGCCTGCCTCTGCCTCTAAGTTGGTCATTTACGCCACTTGAGGCCACGTACACGTAACGTACGCGTACGTTTACGTTTACGTGTACGTACGTGTACGTACGCCGGGCAGGTCAGAAAAAAAAAATTTCCGCTACGAATTTCTATGAAATCGGTTTCCGAAAAAACTAAAAAAGAAAAACGCTTTCGACGACCTGTGCTTTGTTAGCGTGGTAGTAAACCGGCGCGACGTTTCTCATAGTACTAATGTAAGAAATAAGGACGTTTCTAGCTAGGGTTGCTATGGTGTGGCGACTACCCTACGTACTACGTCGACTACGGCATAGGGTACTACGATAGGTAAGTTTGTCGAGAGAGGGAGGAAGGAGGTGGGAGTAGATCTGAATACGAATCAAACTGTTCGCGATAGAACATTGCGAACAGTTTGACTCGCAATTGCTTCGCTTGCAAGGTAAGCGACTGTCACCCGCTCAGCAATTTCGTCACCGCCGAGCTTCACTGGTTTCGGCGAATCCCAACATCGAGTCAAACAAATTCGCCGAGTCAAATCGAAATTTACATCTAGGGACTTTCCTGCACCGTCCGTAAGACGCGCAAACGCGTTCCTGCACCTTCCGCGAGTCCTAAACGGAAACTAACAATGCGATGCGACGGCAAAGAACTAATTTGCAGCTATAGCTAATAAGTATAAAAGAAGTCTCCACGCTTAACCAATAATCACAGCTATATTTTCGTCTATCTACTCTAACTACTTAACCAACACGCTCCAACAGATTCTACTAGTACTATGGAGACCCCTACGCAGACCGCTTCCGAGCATCCCGTGTGGCGATGCTTCATTGTTCCTGAGGGCGGAACATCTGATTCTACGCTAGCGAAGAAATGCAAGCGATGTGGGAAGTCGTGGAAACTGAATGTGGCGCGGGCTCAGGCACACATTCTCGGAATTCCCGGGAGTGGAATCACGCCATGCGCCTCAGCTACACCTGAGGATAAGGAGAAAATTCGTTCTGCGATGGATGATAAGAAGAGGGAATCTGATTCTCGCGAGAAAGCTCAACAGAAAACGTCCGATGCATTCTCGCCATCGTCTACTACGAACACCAAGTCGTCGGGCATGGTGGCGAGTGGCTCCAACTTAGCGGAAAGTAGCAACATGGCGCGCAAGAGACAGGCGACGCAGCGTACCCTTATGGATACTCGCCCCAAACCCGTCGACGCGGCGAGTGCACAACTGGCCATCGCAACGTTTTTCCACGTGTGTCGTATCGCATCGAATGTTGCGGAGCACGATGCTTTCAAGACGATGCTGAAAAAGGTTGCTGCTGCTGGTACAGGATTTACACCTCCAGGACGACGGCTCATAATGGGAAGATTGTTGGAGGAGTGCAAGGCGAACACCGACGCTGCGTTAAAGGAGGTGAAGGATTCATGGAAGGATGTCGGGGTGTGCATCGCATGTGACGGTTGGACCGACAGCGAAGGACGTCCGCAGCTGAACTTCCTAGCTGTCAATACGATTGCATCCGTATTTCTTTTTGGGGTGGATTGCGGCACGGAGAGGAAGGGAGCAGAATTCATTGCTGGCCACTTGAAGACGGCAATGGTCATGGTGGGAACGGAGAACGTAGTCGGCCTGCTGATGGACGGTGCGTCCGCGAATGTCAACGCTGCCAGCATCATCGCCCGCGACTACCCAAAAGTTCAGTGGATTCGTTGTGCTGCGCATACTCTCAATCTAATGATGAAGGACATTGGCCAACTCGATTGGGCCAAGGATACCATAGACCGCGCGCAGCAGCTAATTACGACGCTGAAGAACGCGCACTGGATTACGGGGGTTCTTCGGAAGGAGAAGGCGCTACAAATCTTGAAACCTGCGGGCACTCGTTTTGGAACAAACTACATCGCCCTCGAACGCCTGCAAGCAGTGCGAAAAACTCTCGACAAGCTGGTGTTGAGCGAGGATTGGGAGGAGTACGTCAAGGGAAAGCCGAAAATGAAGGACGCATGGGATACTATTATCGACAAAGAGTTCTGGGCGCGCGTTGGGACGGTGCTCGATGTGCTTCGTCCGGTCTATAAGCTGTTGCGGAATGTTGACGGCAATCAGGAGGTGATGGGCAAGATCTATGACAAAATGTTTGTTTTGGAGGACGCGGTGAAGGAGGCGTGTAAGGAGCTGACCGAGGAGGAGAAGGAGGATGTGACCGACATCGTGCGGAATCGGTGGAACAACGACATCAACTGCGCGCTTCACGTGGTCGGACGGATTCTGTACCCGCCAAACCAATACGAGTCAATATTTGGAACGGACGTGGAGTGTACCAAGATCTTCAAGCAATTCATTCGCAATTACTACAAGGGTGAGTTCGTGAAAGTGGGAGGGGTGATGGCGCCACTCGCAACCTTCGTCGAAAAAGAGGTCTTGACATACACCAAGGGGAAGGGAGACATTGGGGAGCAGAAAGCTCGTGATGAACATGAACTCATCAAAGCTGGGATTTTGGATTCGGCGCACTGGTGGGAATTTAATGGCACGGACGTGCCCCACCTCTCCAAGCTTGCAAGGAGAGTTCTCAAGCAATGCGTCTCGGCATCCCCTTGCGAGACGAACTGGGCCGTTTGGGAGTCAATCCATACAGCTCGTCGTAATCGCCTTGGACCGAAACGCCTTGCCGACCTGGTGTACGTGAGCCACAACTATCACACAGTGAAGAAGTTGAATGAGGATCTTGCTAAGAAGCTGGTGGTGAGTGGGCTTCCTGTGGTCCAAGTTAAGGAGGAACCTACTGACAGCTACGGGCATCTCGATGACGACGACATCCCTGATGAGGCATATCTTGATGGCCAGGAAGCGGAAGAGCCGAAGGAGTGAGGATGATATGATATTCTGCACGACGCGTGCATGATGGTGATTTTGTTCTTTGGGAAATTACGAGGTTGTAATGGAATGTTTACACTATATGATGGAAATCATGATTACGAGGGAGTACTATAGAAAAAATATACATATTCGGGCAGCCCAGAAAGTTTTTCACCTGCCCGTACATTAGGCCTCCAACGCAACAGCCGCGTAAACGTACGTACCCGTACACGTACGTACGTAAACGTAAACGTAAATGACCAACTTAGCTCTGCCTGCCTCTGCCTGCCTCTGCCTGCCTCTGCCTGCCTCTGCCTGCCTCTGCCTGCCTCTGCCTGCCTCTGCCTGCCTCTGCCTGCCTCTGCCTGCCTCTGCCTGCCTCTGCCTGCCAGGGGATCTTGCAGCTTGGCTCAGCTTCATTCGCTGCTCTCTAATGTGCAGCCATGCCTTCCAACACCAAGTACAGCACCGGATGGCAGCGACAATGAAGGGGCAGCAGGGGGGCGGGAGGGGGAAGGGGAGGAAGGGTGCAGGGGGGCGGGAGGGGGAATGGGAAGGGTGCAGGGGGGCGTGCCTGGAGGTGATGGAGAGGCCGAGCCCGGTGCCGCCGTGCTGGCGCGACATGGACGAGTCCGCCTGCTCAAACGCATGGAAGATGCGCCTCTGCTCGCCCCTCGCTATGCCTACAGCCCACCCGGGAGGCACGGCGTGGGAGAGGGCGCAGCGCATGGGGCAGAGGGCAGAGGGAGGAGGGCACAGGGAAAAGGGAGGAGAGTGGAGGTCGGAAAAGAGTTGGTGAAGAAGAAGCGCTGCATGCTGAGAGACTTGTGGCATGCTGAGAGACTTGTGGCATGCTGAGAGACTTGTGGCATGCTGAGAGACTTGTGGCATACTGAGAGACTTGTGGCATGCTGAGAGACTTGTGGCATGCTGAGAGACTTGTGGCATGCTGAGAGACTTGTGGCATGCTGAGAGACTTGTGGCATGCTGAGAGACTTGTGGCATGCTGAGAGACTTGTGGCATGCTGAGAGACTTGTGGCATGCTGAGAGACTTGTGGCATGCTGAGAGACTTGATGCATGCTGAGAGACTTGATGCATGCTGAGAGACTTGTGGCATGCTGAGATACTTGATGCATGCTGAGAGACTTGATGCATGCTGAGATACTTGATGCATGCTGAGATACTTGATGCATGCTGAGATACTTGATGCATGCTGAGAGACTTGATGCATGCTGAGATACTTGATGCATGCTGAGATACTTGATGCATGCTGAGAGACTTGATGCATGCTGAGAAACTTGATGCATGCTGAGATACTTGATGCATGCTGAGATACTTGATGCATGCTGAGATACTTGATGCATGCTGAGATACTTGATGCATGCTGAGATACTTGATGCATGCTGAGATACTTGATGCATGCTGAGATACTTGATGCATGCTGAGATACTTGATGCATGCTGAGATACTTGATGCATGCTGAGATACTTGATGCATGCTGAGATACTTGATGCATGCTGAGATACTTGATGCATGCTGAGATACTTGATGCATGCTGAGATACTTGATGCATGCTGAGATACTTGATGCATGCTGAGATACTTGATGCATGCTGAGATACTTGATGCATGCTGAGATACTTGATGCATGATGAGATACTTGATGCATGCTGAGATACTTGATGCATGCTGAGATACTTGATGCATGCTGAGATACTTGATGCATGCTGAGATACTTGATGCATGCTGAGAGACTTGATGCATGCTGAGAGACTTGATGCATGCTGAGATACTTGATGCATGCTGAGATACGTGATGCATGCTGAGATACTTGATGCATGCTGAGAGACTTGATGCATGCTGAGAGACTTGATGCATGCTGAGATACTTGATGCATGCTGAGATACGTGATGCATGCTGAGAGACTTGATGCATGCTGAGAGACTTGATGCATGCTGAGATACTTGATGCATGCTGAGATACTTGATGCATGCTGAGAGACTTGATGCATGCTGAGAGACTTGATGCATGCTGAGAGACTTGATGCATGCTGAGATACTTGATGCATGCTGAGATACTTGATGCATGCTGAGATACTTGATGCATGCTGAGATACTTGATGCATGCTGAGATACTTGATGCATGCTGAGATACTTGATGCATGCTGAGATACTTGATGCATGCTGAGAGACTTGATGCATGCTGAGAGACTTGATGCATGCTGAGATACTTGATGCATGCTGAGATACGTGATGCATGCTGAGAGACTTGATGCATGCTGAGAGACTTGATGCATGCTGAGATACTTGATGCATGCTGAGATACTTGATGCATGCTGAGAGACTTGATGCATGCTGAGAGACTTGATGCATGCTGAGAGACTTGATGCATGCTGAGATACTTGATGCATGCTGAGATACTTGATGCATGCTGAGAGACTTGATGCATGCTGAGAGACTTGATGCATGCTGAGAGACTTGATGCATGCTGAGAGACTTGATGCATGCTGAGATACTTGATGCATGCTGAGATACTTGATGCATGCTGAGATACTTGATGCATGCTGAGATACTTGATGCATGCTGAGTTACTTGATGCATGCTGAGATACTTGATGCATGCTGAGATACTTGATGCATGCTGAGATACTTGATGCATGCTGAGAGACTTGATGCATGCTGAGAGACTTGATGCATGCTGAGATACTTGATGCATGCTGAGATACTTGATGCATGCTGAGAGACTTGATGCATGCTGAGATACTTGATGCATGCTGAGATACTTGATGCATGCTGAGAGACTTGATGCATGCTGAGAGACTTGATGCATGCTGAGAGACTTGATGCATGCTGAGAGACTTGATGCATGCTGAGAGACTTGATGCATGCTGAGATACGTGATGCATGCTGAGATACTTGATGCATGCTGAGATACTTGATGCATGCTGAGATACTTGATGCATGCTGAGAGACTTGATGCATGCTGAGATACTTGATGCATGCTGAGATACTTGATGCATGCTGAGATACTTGATGCATGCTGAGATACTTGATGCATGCTGAGAGACTTGATGCATGCTGAGAGACTTGATGCATGCTGAGATACTTGATGCATGCTGAGATACGTGATGCATGCTGAGAGACTTGATGCATGCTGAGAGACTTGATGCATGCTGAGATACTTGATGCATGCTGAGATACTTGATGCATGCTGAGAGACTTGATGCATGCTGAGAGACTTGATGCATGCTGAGAGACTTGATGCATGCTGAGATACTTGATGCATGCTGAGATACTTGATGCATGCTGAGATACTTGATGCATGCTGAGAGACTTGATGCATGCTGAGAGACTTGATGCATGCTGAGATACTTGATGCATGCTGAGATACTTGATGCATGCTGAGATACTCGATGCATGCTGAGATACTTGATGCATGCTGAGATACTTGATGCATGCTGAGATACTTGATGCATGCTGAGAGACTTGATGCATGCTGAGAGACTTGATGCATGCTGAGATACTTGATGCATGCTGAGATACTTGATGCATGCTGAGAGACTTGATGCATGCTGAGATACTTGATGCATGCTGAGATACTTGATGCATGCTGAGATACTTGATGCATGCTGAGATACTTGATGCATGCTGAGATACTTGATGCATGCTGAGATACTTGATGCATGCTGAGAGACTTGATGCATGCTGAGAGACTTGATGCATGCTGAGAGACTTGATGCATGCTGAGATACTTGATGCATGCTGAGATACTTGATGCATGCTGAGATACTCGATGCATGCTGAGATACTCGATGCATGCTGAGATACTTGATGCATGCTGAGATACTTGATGCATGCTGAGATACTTGATGCATGCTGAGATACTTGATGCATGCTGAGATACTTGATGCATGCTGAGATACTTGATGCATGCTGAGATACTTGATGCATGCTGAGATACTTGATGCATGCTGAGATACTTGATGCATGCTGAGATACTTGATGCATGCTGAGATACGTGATGCATGCTGAGATACTTGATGCATGCTGAGATACTTGATGCATGCTGAGAGACTTGATGCATGCTGAGAGACTTGATGCATGCTGAGAGACTTGATGCATGCTGAGATACTTGATGCATGCTGAGATACTTGATGCATGCTGAGATACTTGATGCATGCTGAGATACTTGATGCATGCTGAGAGACTTGATGCATGCTGAGAGACTTGATGCATGCTGAGATACTTGATGCATGCTGAGATACTTGATGCATGCTGAGATACTTGATGCATGCTGAGATACTTGATGCATGCTGAGATACTTGATGCATGCTGAGATACTTGATGCATGCTGAGATACTTGATGCATGCTGAGAGACTTGATGCATGCTGAGAGACTTGATGCATGCTGAGATACTTGATGCATGCTGAGATACGTGATGCATGCTGAGATACTTGATGCATGCTGAGAGACTTGATGCATGCTGAGAGACTTGATGCATGCTGAGATACTTGATGCATGCTGAGATACTTGATGCATGCTGAGATACTTGATGCATGCTGAGATACTTGATGCATGCTGAGATACTTGATGCATGCTGAGAGACTTGATGCATGCTGAGATACTTGATGCATGCTGAGATACTTGATGCATGCTGAGATACTTGATGCATGCTGAGATACTTGATGCATGCTGAGATACTTGATGCATGCTGAGATACTTGATGCATGCTGAGATACTTGATGCATGCTGAGATACTTGATGCATGCTGAGATACTTGATGCATGCTGAGATACTTGATGCATGCTGAGAGACTTGATGCATGCTGAGATACTTGATGCATGCTGAGAGACTTGATGCATGCTGAGATACTTGATGCATGCTGAGATACTTGATGCATGCTGAGATACTTGATGCATGCTGAGAGACTTGATGCATGCTGAGAGACTTGATGCATGCTGAGAGACTTGATGCATGCTGAGATACTTGATGCATGCTGAGATACTTGATGCATGCTGAGATACTCGATGCATGCTGAGATACTTGATGCATGCTGAGATACTTGATGCATGCTGAGATACTTGATGCATGCTGAGAGACTTGATGCATGCTGAGAGACTTGATGCATGCTGAGATACTTGATGCATGCTGAGATACTTGATGCATGCTGAGAGACTTGATGCATGCTGAGATACTTGATGCATGCTGAGATACTTGATGCATGCTGAGATACTTGATGCATGCTGAGATACTTGATGCATGCTGAGATACTTGATGCATGCTGAGATACTTGATGCATGCTGAGAGACTTGATGCATGCTGAGATACTTGATGCATGCTGAGATACGTGATGCATGCTGAGATACTTGATGCATGCTGAGATACTTGATGCATGCTGAGAGACTTGATGCATGCTGAGAGACTTGATGCATGCTGAGAGACTTGATGCATGCTGAGATACTTGATGCATGCTGAGATACTTGATGCATGCTGAGATACTTGATGCATGCTGAGATACTTGATGCATGCTGAGAGACTTGATGCATGCTGAGAGACTTGATGCATGCTGAGATACTTGATGCATGCTGAGATACTTGATGCATGCTGAGATACTTGATGCATGCTGAGATACTTGATGCATGCTGAGATACTTGATGCATGCTGAGATACTTGATGCATGCTGAGAGACTTGATGCATGCTGAGAGACTTGATGCATGCTGAGATACTTGATGCATGCTGAGATACTTGATGCATGCTGAGAGACTTGATGCATGCTGAGATACTTGATGCATGCTGAGATACTTGATGCATGCTGAGAGACTTGATGCATGCTGAGAGACTTGATGCATGCTGAGAGACTTGATGCATGCTGAGATACTTGATGCATGCTGAGATACGTGATGCATGCTGAGATACTTGATGCATGCTGAGATACTTGATGCATGCTGAGAGACTTGATGCATGCTGAGAGACTTGATGCATGCTGAGATACTTGATGCATGCTGAGATACTTGATGCATGCTGAGATACTTGATGCATGCTGAGATACTTGATGCATGCTGAGATACTTGATGCATGCTGAGATACTTGATGCATGCTGAGAGACTTGATGCATGCTGAGAGACTTGATGCATGCTGAGATACTTGATGCATGCTGAGATACTTGATGCATGCTGAGAGACTTGATGCATGCTGAGAGACTTGATGCATGCTGAGAGACTTGATGCATGCTGAGAGACTTGATGCATGCTGAGAGACTTGATGCATGCTGAGAGACTTGATGCATGCTGAGAGACTTGATGCATGCTGAGATACTTGATGCATGCTGAGAGACTTGATGCATGCTGAGATACTTGTGGCGCGCTGGCACGCACACAGCATGGCACATGGCGGCATTGCCAAAAATGTCAACGCACCAGCGCCAGTGTCAACTCACCAACGCCCGTGTCAACTCACCAACGCCTGTGTCAACTCACCAACGCCCGTGTCAACTCACCAACGCCCGTGCCAACTCACCAGCGCCAGTGTCAACTCACCAACGCCCGTGTCAACTCACCAACGCCTGTGTCAACTCACCAACGCCCGTGTCAACTCACCAACGCCCGTGTCAACTCACCAACGCCCGTGTCAACTCACCAACGCCCGTGTCAACTCACCAACGCCCGTGTCAACTCACCAACGCCCGTGTCAACTCACCAACGCCCGTGTCAACTCACCAACGCCCGTGTCAACTCACCAACGCCCGTGTCAACTCACCAACGCCTGTGTCAACTCACCAACGCCCGTGTCAACTCACCAACGCCCGTGTCAACTCACCAACGCCCGTGTCAGTGATGGTGAAGAGCAGCGCCACTCCCTCTCCCCCTGGCGCTGCTGCTCCCTCTGACCCCCTCCCACTGGGCCCATCGCCCCCATTGCCCCCATTATCCGCGTCGCCGAGCGCAGCAGAAGGGCCATCAGGGGCAGCAGGGGCAGAGGGCGAGGGGGGTGGGGCGGTGGCACAGGCAGAGGCAGCAGAGGAAGAGGGCGTGGTGGTGGTGGTGGTGGTGGTGGCGGTGGCGGTGGTAGAGTTGCAGGTCGACAGGTGGGAGGGCGTGAGAGGTTGTGGAGGAAACATGGTGGAGGAGGAAGGAGAGGAGTAGGAGGAGGGAAGTGGTACGAGGGAGAGGGTGGGTGAGAGGAGGGAAGGGGAGAAGGGATGCACAGTGATGTGCACCTTGCCCTGGTCCGTGAACTTGATGGCGTTCCCCACTAAATTCACCTGCCCTCCCACACCGCACCGCACAGCACCGCACAGCACAGCACAGCACAGCACAGCACAGCACAGCACAGCACAGCACAGCACAGCACAGCGCAGCACAGCACAGCACAGCACAGCACAGCGCAGCACAGCACAGCACAGCACAGCACCGCACAGCACAGCACAGCACAGCACAGCGCAGCACAGCACAGCACAGCACAGCACAGCGCAGCACAGCACAGCAGCGGTGGCAGAGGGAACAGCACAGAGCGAGGAAGGAACACACGTACTTTCATTGCACCACCCCATGCACTCATCATGTCACACCATGATATTTCCCAACCATACACCAGCAATCGACAACAGGAATCACAGCCTAAACCCTACCAGGCACTGTCGGAGGCGCACGGCATCTCCCAGCAGCAGGGGCGGCACGGCAGCATCCACCTCCCACTGGAACGCCAGGCCCTTGAGGGCGGCGCGGGCGGCAAGCATTGTCATGATGCCGTTGACGAGGGCGCGCAGGTCAAAGAGGGCGGAGTCCAGCTGCAGGCGGCCGGCCTCGAGTTTGGTGATGTCCAGAATGTCGTTCACCACCAGCAGCTGCCAGCCACGGGGTCAGGGGACAGGGGACAGGGGCGGGGGCAGGAAAGAAATAACGACACATCAGAAGAGATACACATGATGACTGGAAAAGAATTTGTGAGATGTCCAAAACACAAGCTCTGAGGCGGTTACCAGGTGGTTACCAGGTGGTTGGCGGACTGCAGCACGGTCTCGAGGTGGTCGCGGGCGTCAGGGGGGAGGGGGGAGTCGAGGGCGAGGTCGGTCATGCCGAGGATGCCGTGGATGGGCGTGCGGATCTCATGGCTCATGTTCGCCATGAATTGCACCTTCGCCTCCACCAACCCCCGCACCGCCTCCCCTGCCGCCCGCGCCGCCTCTCGCTCCTGCCGCACCTCGCCCTCCAGTGCCGCCACTTGGCCCTGCAGCGCTGCCACTTGCCTCTCCAGTGCTGCCACGCGCCGTGCCCGCGCTGCCCGCTCCACACTGAGGGCCGGCCGGCGAGCGACATCAAGTGGGTGTGGGGGGGAGGGACGGCAGTGGGCACAATAGGCATCATGCCACAGATCGAAGGGATGGGGGGATTGTGTTCAGCGAGGCGAATTGGTAGAGAGGTATCGACTGGTGGGCGCACGGAGTGATGTGTGCTTGGATTGGTAGGTGCAGCACCAATAACTCACATGTCGGTGTGGCGGCAGGTGATGCAGGGCGGGCGGAGGGCGGTTGAGAGCGGCAGGAGCAGGTGGGCCAGCAGCAGGAGGGCAAGCAGGAAGAGCTGGAGCTGCGAGGGGCGAGGGAGAATTGGGGTGGGGATGGTGCATGTGAAGGGTAGTGGAGGATGCAATGTGAGCAGTGAAACGCGTTACAAGGGCTCTGGCTGGCTGGGGTGTGGCATCAACCCTCGTGAGAACCCTCACACACATTCCCTCCCCACCCTCTCACCGATTTCCACCCCCATCCAGTAGCACCCCCCTGCCAATCACCTGAAGCGTAGCTTCAAACGGTACAGCGCGGTGAAAAGGGCCCAACCCTGCTGACGCGGCTGAGAGGGTTGATGCTGACAGTGCGAGTGTGGCGGCTGCAAGGTGGCTGGTGGAGGGAGAGGCGGACCAACGCATTCATTGGGGGCGCATGAAGAGTGCGGTTAGGTGGGTGCATGGGAGGCGAAGAGATGAGGAGTGGCATCACAGGGCGGAACAACAGGAAAGCATTCATTCAAGGCGGCACCGTGAACGTGGCGACGCGGTTACCGTGGCGAGTGGGCGGCGCAGCACAGGAGAGTGGGAGCGAGCAGGGCGGCGAGGGGGGCGGCATGGGAGGCGGAGAGAGCGCCTGAGAGGAGAGCACCACAGCTGCCCGCCACCACACCGCACAGCACCGCCATGCCCCATGCCCCTCCGCCCCCACTGCTCGCCGCCACGCCTCCCCCACGCCTGCCATGCGCCGCCCCCTCCTTAACGTACAGCCCCTCCGCCCATCCACTTTCCCCACTGCCTTCCCCACTACCTCCCTGCGCCATGCCCTCGCTCTCCTCCGCACCCCCCCTCTGTCCCCCCTCCCTTCCAGACTGCGTCTGCCCCATCGTGCCCTCCTCCCCCCTCGCCTGCCGTGCCTCCCCCTCCCATTGCGTGTGCGCGCGTGGCGCAGCAGGCGCGAGCGCCAGGGGCAGCAGCAGCGCGCCGAGCAGCAGCGCCACGAAGTCCGCCAGCAGCAGGCGCAGGGCGCGCGGCCAGAACGCGGGGGGGGCCAAGGGGGGGCGCGCGAGGAGGAGAATGGGGAGGAGCGAGGAGGATGAGGAGGTGGCGGCGGCTGTGGCGGCGAGCAGCAGCAGCAGGCGGCCGAGCGCGAGGGCGGGTGGCGCGAGGGCCGTAGCCATGAGGGGAGAAGGGTGGGCAGGGTGGGGGGTGAGGGTGGTCGGACAGGGGAGGCGGGGGAGGAGAGGCGTGGCGGCGGCGACGATGAGGTGCAGCAGCGCGGCGTCCAGCACGCCTGCGCGAGGGGTGGACGTTGTGAACGGGCACAACGGGCACCACGGGCAGGGTAAGAGTGGTGGCATAGGAAGGGGTAAGGGTAGGTGAAGAGGGGGAAATCCCATGGAATGGGGAGAGGTTTTATGGCGGGAAAGGGGTACGCTACCTTCGAGTATGGGGAAGAGCGGAGCCCTACTATCCTCGCATTTCGGCCCTTCTTCCGCGCATTGCGCCTGCAGCGGAGGGGTATTGCTTGCGGGGACGGGCAACGAGAGAGGTGTGTGGGGGATGAAACGGTGCGCGGAGTCGGGACGGCAGGCGGGGTCAGCGCGCAGAGAAGGGGCCTGGCGGCGGCGATAGAGGCGCGCGAGGGCGCCACTCAACGCTGCGCCTGCCAGCGCAGCCGCGTGCCGCTCCCCCGTCCCCCCGCTCACAGCCGCCGCGATTAGACTCGCAGCCGCTCGCACGCGAACTGGCGCCGCAGTCACGTGGTGATGCGACGGCGACCCCACGAGACGCGGTGGCTGCACGGCGCCAGTAAGCGCGTCGGACGCGAGGCCCAGCGCGCACGCGAACAGTGCAGCGGCGAGCAGTCGAGCCGTGCATATGGCGCGCTCTGACTCGAGGACGGCCCGCATGGTTGGCAGTCGGGCAATGCGAGAAGCTTTCAGAAAGCCTTGCAAGTCTTTGGTTGGTCTGGGCAGGGGTGTGGCATTGTGGCCAGCAACGGCGGTACTCCACGCACGCGGTGGGGTGATGCGGTGCTTCAAGGGGATACCACGAGGATGCAGCCTAGCGTTGCTGTCGTCAGTCGTAGATATATTGCTCCTGCGACTGCATTTATTAGGACGGAAGCCCTAGCCTACGATAGTGGCTACGGGGTAAGCAACTAGAAGTCTCGTTTTGCATCAAGGTCTTTCGGCTCGTCCTTGGTCGTTCGGCTCTGCTTGAAAGCCACATTAGGGTGGTGGCAGGACGGCTTCATAACGATCTGTAACAAAAACTTCTCATTTGTACTTTCGCATAAACTATATTATCAATGTACGGTAGGTACATGAACGGCTATCTTCATGTCAACTTTTGCCTCGATCTACTTATGCTAAAACTTCAGTTTTACTACGGTAATAGCGTTCGTTCAGGTTCTCTTATGGCCATTCGTACAACACTTTTCTCTTGGATAACATACCCTGGCCTTATTAGGCAGCGGACTATCTCTGGTCTGGTGTACGTGCATTAATTTTCACTCATCCGTTACCTAATGGAGAATTTCAAACATCCTTGGAGGAAGTGACATTGACGAACGAAGGTACAGTTGCTTTTGTTCCCCCCGACTCGGTTGTGCAGTGTTGAGGGAGGGCCGTGCCCTGCCCACACTTCACTTCAGCTCGTCCCCTCGTAGACGACAAAACGGAGGGAGGTACCCCTCATTAAAATTGGCCATCCGATTGGCAGCGACGAAAACTCTGCCAATCCGCGTGAAATGCGAAACCACGCTACAGTACGTGGCGGTCCTAGTACAGTCAGGAAGGAAAGTCTCAGCATGTTTCGAAAAAGGAGGAAGGGAACCTCAAGGAGACTGTTGGGTTCGGTCTGGTTCGGGCGTGGACCCTAAACTCTGAAAACGTATTTGCCGAGTTCATTTTGGAGTCGGTTATGGGTGAAACGGTAACACTGACGGTGTTCTCCATGATCTAGCGAAAGCTTGTTTCTTACGCACACGGCGGTCATACCTACGGTGAATTGTCGCGATGCAGATAAAGTGAGATTGGGTCGTCTGTTTTCCGCTGCGACAAGAGTTGTCTGTAACGGCGAGCAAGATCAGCGACCTGCATGACAGACGCCTAGGGTTTGACACAGAGGAGAGGGTCGCTGACACAGCAAATACAATGTCGGTCAGAGTCGGGCCTATGGAATGGACATGGCCTGAGCGTTGTGAGGCTTTTGGAAAGGCTGCATTAGGTTAACCCATCATGCCCACACACCTAAAGTAGCTAACTATGGCTCATGCCGTACCTTCTAGAGTCTTGCTGCGGTGTCCACTTGAAGGCTTTCGATGGGCTGAAATCGGTCTAGAATCCTTGTATCATTAGCTAACTAAGTTAATATGACCCCGTCATACTACCGCTCAGGTTAACTTCTGTCAGGAAAAGTTGGTTGAGGCCGTGGTTGTGAGTTGCGCGTGGAAGCTTGGTGGTAGCGAGCGATGTCACCGACGGCGTCGGAAGTGACGTGGGTGGTGGAGGTGACCAAGTACAAGGACGTCAGCAAGGATGCGCTCTCCGTCGCCATGGCGGATCTCGAAACTGAGGTGTCGCGGGGAAACGGACCTATCACTATCCTTCTCGTCCACGTCATGACTGAGGTCCCTTGCTCCCGTGAGTTTAGACGGATTCTGACTGCTTCAGGCGAGGCCCGTTAGGGCTCGCGCTCATTACATGCCTATTTCCTTCGTGAGATCGTTCGCCTTTCGAAACAGGCACCGCATCGAGTTGCTCTGCTTGCTGCTCCCTCGTTTGTCCGATGTCGCTTCTCCACTCTTTCGTGTAAGTCCTTTACTTGCTTCCTTAGTTCGCGTCGTCGCTTTATGCTTTACATGTCGCGATTGGTCCTGTTCTAGATAATGTTGAAACTATCAATGAAGTCGAACCCAGTGCGTTGTTTTATCAGGGTTCGCGTCAGCGTGTTCCTTGGCGCATTCCCGTCATTTGTGTGTAGGCTCATTGCCATCGTCACAGTGCGATGGCAACCGGGAAGCAAGGGTGGGAATCAAATGCCACCTGTGCGTGTCTTGCACCACTTTGCGGCCTTTAAGCCCGTGTCGCGGCCCTTTCCCTCCAAATCTCACCTTCGCCCTCCCCATTCGGCCTCGGCCTGGTACCTCCTGCCCTCCTCTCTCCCCCCCTCTTTTTCACTCTCCCTCCCCTGTCCCCCACCCTCTCCCGCCTCGTCGACGGCGCGCGGGGCGGCAGGCGGAATGGACCTGCCGGCGAGCGAGGTGGATCCGAAGACGGCGCTGGAGCACGGCCGCCGCCTTGTCGAGGTCATGCTGCGCCCGCTGCTCGCGCACGCCAAAACCAAAAAGGTGCTCGCGCACGCCAAAACCAAAAAGGTGCTCGCGCACGCCAAAACCAAAAAGGTGCTCGCGCACGCCAAAACCAAAAAGGTGCTCGCGCACGCCAAAACCAAAAAGGTGCTCGCGCACGCCAAAACCAAAAAGGTGCTCGCGCACGCCAAAACCAAAAAGGTGCTCGCGCATGCCCAGGCGACGCACGCGCTACCGCATACCAAGTCATGCGGAAAAGCGCTAATGAATGCAGAAAAGCGCTAATGAATGCAGAAAAGCGCTAATGAATGCAGAAAAGCGCTAATGAATGCAGAAAAGCGCTAACGAGTGCAGGATGATATAGGCGCTAACGGACTAGCCTGAAAGAGGTGTTGCTTTGTGGCGAGTCGTTTTGTTTTAATCGCGATTGACGTGTGCATGCCTGGTTGCAGTAAAAGGCAATCTCACAAGCCCGCTCGCATCCCCCACCCTTTATGAGCTTCTATTCTCCTCTCAACTCAACCGCATGGCTGGGCGTCTTTACCCGCCCACCCCCCCACACGCGCCTCTCTCTCTGCCCTCCCCCGCGTGGGCGGCAGGTGCACTGCAACGCGTCCATTGAGCGCAACGACCGCCGCGAGCTGGGGCTGTGCGCTGCTGCGCGCCGAGCCAACGCGCAGCGCGTCTACGTGGGCCTGCGCAAGTGAGCACGCGCTGCCTCTCCGCTCTCCCGTTCTTGCCGCTCATGTTGTGTGTGTTGCATCCTGGTAGCACCGTTTTCCAGTACGATGCTCACTGACACCCTTGCTCTCACCGCCTGTCTTTGCATCTGACTTTCCTGGCCTGTCTGGGGCTGTCTGGGGCTGATGTGGTTCGGTGCAATGCGGTGGTGGAGGCAGGAAGCTGCTGGGGTGGTCGTCATCAGCGTCGGCACACTACGAGGCGGGGCTGCCGCCGTCGTGTCTGCTGGTGGTGGTGCAGGCCGCCAAGCAGCACCAATCAATGCCGGGCTCCGGTGGAGACACGCCCTTCTTCGTTGTCTCCCCCAACGCCTTCATCTTCTGTCGCTACAACGCCCCCACTGCCCCTGCTTCCGCTGCCCCCGCCTCCGCCGCGCTGGCGTCAGGGTCCGCCACGCCCGACTCAGAGCACCTCTCCGCGCAGCACCCCAATCCGCACCTCCACCCGCCCTCGCTCACTGCGCCTGAGGCGCTTGCCATGGCCTCCGCAGGGGGCGTGGGCTTGAGGGCAGGCGAGGCGGGGGCGGCAGGGCACCGCTCGTCGCCGTCGCTGTCGCACGTGGAGGGCGCCCACGCGCTGCTGTCGCCGCAGCACGCGCGCTCGTCCAGCGCGCGCTTCTCCCCCGCGCAGCTCGCGCCCGACTCCGCCTCGCCTGCAGGCCCGGGCGCCGTGCGGGAAGCATGGTCGCAGGGCGCGTCGCCCATGGTGCCGCGCGGGGGGTTAGGAGGGGCAGGGCTGGGGCCGGGCATGGGAGCAGGAGAAGGCGGGGGCGCGAGGTTAGCAGGGACAGGCAGCCACAGCGGCGGCTTCCCTGCGGTTGCCATGGCGGGTGCAGGGGGCGCATGTGATGCGCCGCCACCCCTGTGCGGGGGGGCGTGTGGGGGAGCTGGGTCGTGTGTGGAGGGCGGGGGGAAGGCGGTGGGCGTGGGGGGAGGGGAGCAGCTGCGGCCGGGAGTGATCTACTCGTCCGTGGAGGGCAGCGGTGAGGCGCCGGGCAGGCCAGGCAGCAGCAGCGGCAGCACCGCCTTCCCAGGGGACCTCAACGCCTCCGCGCTCTCCTCCCTCCAGGTGCACCCCCTCCCCCCGCTCCCACCGCCCTCTCCTCTTGCATGCACCCCCTCTATGCGGGCGCGCCAGGCCCCTTGGTGTCCGCCGCCTTGATGCTGGCACCGCGTCCCTCACCTCTCCCATCCGCACCTGCTCCACTTGCCTTCTCCCCTGCCTCCGCGCCTCAACTCTCACCATCTATCCTCTTTGCTCCCGCCTGCCTGGGATTGTGGCATGTGACGTGTGGGGCATGGCATGGGATGGCATGGGATGGCATGGCATGGCATGGCATGGGGCAACAGGAGGACCGGCTGGCGAGTCTGAGGGCCATGATGCCGGTGGACGCGTCCACGGGGCACACGTCGCTGGCTGCCTCCGCGCTCTCCTCCATGGAGCTGCCCACCCTCGCCGCTGACTATGGCCCCCCCGGTGTGGCTGCAGCAGCCATTGCCGAGACACTCGCCCTGCACCACCACCACCACCATGCGCACCACCACTCGCTGCTGCCCTCGCCCGCCCCGCCCCACCTGCCCTCCGCCTTTTCCGGAAACGAGAACGACTACCACCGCAGCCTCTCCGACGCCGCCCGCCACAAGCCGGGCCTGCCGCCCACACGCGTGACGGGCAGGGACGCAGCGGGCGGCATGGTGGGCAAGGGGGGCCTGCGGGAGGCGGTGCGGTCCAGCAGTGCCAGCGCCATGCCTCTGGACACTGCTGCCGCTGCTGCCGCCGCCGCCGCCGCCGCGCTGGCCTTCTCCACGGCGTCCCCCGCGTCCACTGGCCGCCTCGCCACGCCCGTCCACGCGGGCCGTGACAGCCCCGGTGTGCGCCGCGTGGCCTTCTGCGTGGCTCCACACGGCTCTGCTGCTGCTGCGGGCCGGCAGGGGGGTGAGGGGGGCGCGCAGATGGGGGAGCCCGGGGCGGGCAGGGAGGTGGAGGGCAACGGCGGTGCAGGTGGGGGCGGGGGCGCGGGCGCGGGCGGGGGTGGGGGGGGCATGCGGTCGCTGCTGGCGGACGAGCTGGCGCTGCTGGATGAGGAGGAGGAGGCCGGTGGGGGCGGGGAGGAGCGGTGGGAGGGCAAGGCCGTGAGCAGCAATAGAGCCGCAGAGGCGGGTGCGGACGCACGTGGCAACGACAACAAATCAGAGGTTGGTCATATCACCTCATCCATATCACCTCATCCATATCACCTCATCCATATCACCTCATCCATGTCACCTCATCCATGTCACCTCATCCATGTCACCTCATCCATGTCACCTCATCCATGTCACCTCATCCATGTCACCTCATCCATATCACCTCACCAGCATACTCAAACTCTCCATGTCACCTCTCTTTTCCTACTTCTCTACAATCTCTCAAACCCTGCGACTTTACTTACCTCTGCGTTCGTCTCCCCCACCTCCCTCCAACCCCGCTCTCCCTCTCTCTCCCTGCATGACGGCGCTGTCTGCAGCGCTTCCTGTCACAGCAGCTGCGGGCGATGCAGCTGAGTGGCCCGCAGAGCATGCTCTCCGCCGACTCACCCGCCTCCACCCTGCTGCCCACAGATGCTGCACAGGCGGGGGCGGGGGGGGAGGCGGTGCGGGCGGTGGCGGAGATGGAGCCGCCGGGGCAGGTGGGGGGTGCGCCCAGCAACCGCTTCTCCTCGCGCTTCTCCTCCTCTCGCCCCGCCGCCTCCGCCGCCGTCTCCTCGCTGCTGCCGCCCATCGCCGGGGGCTTCAGCACGGGCGGTGGGAGCAGTGCACAGAACGTGGGCGCGCACAGCATGGGGCAGATCGACCTGCGCGGGCTGGGGGCGGGCGGCGACGGGTTTGACTGCCGGCTGTTCACGCCGAAGCAGCTGGAGAAGGCGACTCGCGGGTACGCGCGGGAGAACCTGCTGGGGCGCGGGTCGTTTGGGTACGTGTTCCGCGGCGAGATGCTGGGGTGCAAGGTGGCGGTGAAGCGGCTGGAGGGGCAGGGGTGGCAGGGGCCAGACGAGTTCCGCATGGAGGTGGACGTGCTCTCGCGCATGCGCCACCCCAACATCGTGCTGCTCATGGGCTGCTGCCTCGAGGAAATGGCCCTCATCTACGAGTTCCTCTCGGGCGGCACGCTACAGGACAAGCTCGGCCCGCCAAAGACGCCCGACGCCGTGCCTCTCTCGTGGGTGGACCGGCTGAGAATCTTCTCGGAGATCTCGTCGGCGCTGCTGTACCTGCACCAGAACGAGCCGCCCATCGTGCACCGCGACTTAAAGCCCGACAACATCCTGCTGGACGGGCACATGATGAGCAAGATCGGTGACGTGGGGCTGGCGCGCCTGCTGTGCGCCGACGACGTCATGACCATGAAGGTGCGCGGCACAGCGGGGTACATCGACCCCGAGGAGGTGGAGACGTGTGAGATCAGCGTGCTGAGCGACATCTACGCGCTGGGGCTCATCCTGCTGCAGCTGCTCACGGGGCAGCGCAGCGTCAAGGCCGTCCACCGCATGCTCGCCGACTGCACCTCTCGCCCCGCCAGGCCCGGGCAGCCCAGGGCGGCGGCGGGCGCGGAGATGGTGCTGCGGTATCTGGACACGGCGGCGGGCGACTGGCGCCTGGACCTGGCTGAGCAGGTGGCGGCGCTGGCGCTGCGCTGCGCTGAGCGGCGAAGGGAGAACCGGCCGGACCTGGCGGAGGAGATCCACCCCACGCTCGTGCGCGTGGCGGCCGAGGCCAGCGCGGAGGAGAGAAGACGCAAGAAGCGCATCGACTCGCAGTTCATCTGCCCCATCTCCAAGGTGCGACTCGCAGTTCATCTGCCCCATCTCCAAGGTGCGACTCGCAGTTCATCTGCCCCATCTCCAAGGTGCGACTCGCAGTTCATCTGCCCCATCTCCAAGGTGCGACTCGCAGTTCGTCTGCCCCATCTCCAAGGTGCGACTCGCAGTTCATCTGCCCCATCTCCAAGGTGCGACTCGCAGTTCATCTGCCCCATCTCCAAGGTGCGACTCGCAGTTCGTCTGCCCCATCTCCAAGGTGCGACTCGCAGTTCATCTGCCCCATCTCCAAGGTGCGACTCGCAGTTCGTCTGCCCCATCTCCAAGGTGCGACTCGCAGTTCATCTGCCCCATCTCCAAGGTGCGACTCGCAGTTCATCTGCCCCATCTCCAAGGTGCGACTCGCAGTTCATCTGCCCCATCTCCAAGGTGCGACTCGCAGTTCATCTGCCCCATCTCCAAGGTGCGACTCGCAGTTCATCTGCCCCATCTCCAAGGTGCGACTCGCAGTTCGTCTGCCCCATCTCCAAGGTGCGACTCGCAGTTCATCTGCCCCATCTCCAAGGTGCGACTCGCAGTTCATCTGCCCCATCTCCAAGGTGCGACTCGCAGTTCGTCTGCCCCATCTCCAAGGTGCGACTCGCAGTTCATCTGCCCCATCTCCAAGGTGCGACTCGCAGTTCGTCTGCCCCATCTCCAAGGTGCGACTCGCAGTTCATCTGCCCCATCTCCAAGGTGCGACTCGCAGTTCATCTGCCCCATCTCCAAGGTGCGACTCGCAGTTCATCTGCCCCATCTCCAAGGTGCGACTCGCAGTTCATCTGCCCCATCTCCAAGGTGCGACTCGCAGTTCATCTGCCCCATCTCCAAGGTGCGACTCGCAGTTCATCTGCCCCATCTCCAAGGTGCGACTCGCAGTTCATCTGCCCCATCTCCAAGGTGCGACTCGCAGTTCGTCTGCCCCATCTCCAAGGTGCGACTCGCAGTTCATCTGCCCCATCTCCAAGGTGCGACTCGCAGTTCGTCTGCCCCATCTCCAAGGTGCGACTCGCAGTTCGTCTGCCCCATCTCCAAGGTGCGACTCGCAGTTCGTCTGCCCCATCTCCAAGGTGCGACTCGCAGTTCGTCTGCCCCATCTCCAAGGTGTGACTCGCAGTTCATCTGCCCCATCTCCAAGGTGCGACTCGCAGTTCGTCTGCCCCATCTCCAAGGTGCGACTCGCAGTTCATCTGCCCCATCTCCAAGATGCGACTCGCAGTTCGTCTGCCCCATCTCCAAGGTGCGACTCGCAGTTCGTCTGCCCCATCTCCAAGGTGCGACTCGCAGTTCGTCTGCCCCATCTCCAAGGTGCGACTCGCAGTTCATCTGCCCCATCTCCAAGGTGCGACTCGCAGTTCGTCTGCCCCATCTCCAAGGTGCGACTCGCAGTTCATCTGCCCCATCTCCAAGGTGCGACTCGCAGTTCATCTGCCCCATCTCCAAGGTGCGACTCGCAGTTCATCTGCCCCATCTCCAAGGTGCGTGCCCCTGGTGCACAGGCTTGTTTGGTTGGTACTGGCTTGGTTCATCTGCTGTGCAACGACATGGAAAAAGTGTGCCAGAGATCAGAAACTGTGTGCTGCTTCATGTGCATGGTTGGAATGAGTCGGCAAGGCTTGTTCATTGTTCCAATGTCAATGTCCCTTGTCTGTCTTTTCTTGTGCTCTCTCTGTGCTGGCGGGGGCATGGTTGGGTGTGTGTGCATGGGTGTGTGTGCATGGGTGTTTGTGGTACGTGCATGCGGGCGTGTGTGCATGGGTGCATGGGTGTGGAGTGCGGGCATGGGCATGGAGCAGGAGATAATGAAGGATCCGGTGGTGGCTGCGGACGGCTTCACGTACGAGCGGCAGCACATCACGCGCTGGATGGGCTCCTCCTCGCTCTCCCCCGCCACGGGCCAGCCCCTCCCGCACACGTGTCTGACGCCCAACAACGTGCTCAAGAACCTCATCGCCTCCCACAAGTTCCACTGACCACCCATCACCTGCACTAGTGCCCCTTACGTTCCACTGTTGCCCCCCCACAAGTTTCTCTCATGCCCCACAAGTTGCGTCAGTGCGCTTTCTGCCGTGCCGCACCGTGGGGCAGTGGAGAGAGCGACACGAGCCAGGAGCATGGGACATGGAAGCATCTGGTCGCTCAAAGCAGCAGGTTGTTCCTCTGCCGTCTCGTGCGGTCTAAGTCCTGCCATCAATCGTGGTCGTTGCGGAATCTCTCCCCAGAGTGAATAAGCACATGGCAGCTCGCATCTGCCTTCATTTATCTGCTAGGTCAAGCTTTCCTCCAACATCAAGCACGCTAGTGAAGCTGTAGTTAACTGCATGCTCTGCCCTCCCATCCCATCAGCCAGTGGTTGCTCATAGAATGTTGCAATGATGTGACAGTCAGTCCGGACCGGACTGGTTACAGTGTTGGGTACTAGGAAGGAATGTGATACCCATGTAAATGAACCTCATCTTCAACAGTGGACACGAGACAAAATCTCAGAATCGAGGGTTCGTTCAATCCAAATAGGGTAACTCTGTTTAGAGGTTTCTAGAGCCTGAAAACAACTTCATATGTTGTACTGAGCACATGCTACAAGGAGGCAATCGCCAGGAGCACTGGTGCAGGGCCTCAGAAGTCAGCGAAAAATGGCTAATTAGGTAAAAAAGGCTGAGATTTCAAACTTTTTCTAGATTCGAGGCAGATTTTTCAGCATCTTTTTTAAAAGAAACGGATTTTTTTACCGTAAGCCCCCGGATATACAGCCCCGGGTGCTGTGTTAGTACGCCCTGAAAATGGGGGGGTGGGTGCATTAATTCGGGATGAACGTATTGCACCCGGGTATGTAATTTCGTGTTACGTATTATAAAATTATGGCTAGATTCAGTGTCGAATACACTATCGTGTCAAAGTATATGCATGTTATATATGTGTAGGCTGTAGTGGGGTAGCCAACATGGGGTACAACCCCTTTTAGGGTTTCATATTTGTACCCAACTCTTTCATAGTTCATTCATTCCTGCTGCTAGATTATAACATGGTTTCAGAGCACTAGGTCCGTAGGACCGTCTTTTTTTTCGGGCCCACCTACCGTTGCGGTTACCGCGCTACCCCACGTGTTGTCCTGCGCCTGCCTGCCTGCCTGCCTGCCCTGCCTTGTGACGTGCTGCGCTGCGCGCGCCGTCCTGCAGCCCTCGCGCTGCCTCCTGCTGCCCTAGGCCAGCGCGCCGCCCCTGCAGGCCCGTAAGGCCCAAGCGCCGCCCCTGCAGGCCCGTCAGGCCCACGAGCCGCCCCTGCAGGCCCCTCAGGCCAGAGCGCCGCCCCGCCAGGCCACTGACGCGGCCCCGCCCTGCCTCTGACGCGGCCGCGCCCTGCAGCCGACGCGGCCCCGCCCTGCCTCTGACGCAGCCGCGCCCTGCCGCCGACGCGGCCCCGCCCTGCCTCTGACGCGGCCGCGCCCTGCCGCCGACGCGGCCCCGCCCTGCCTCTGACGCGGCCCCGCCCCGCCCCTGACGCGGCCCCGCCCTGCCTCTGACGCGGCCGCGCCCTGTCGCCGACACGGCCCCGCCCCTCCCCTGACGCGGCCCCGCCCTGCCTCTGACGCGGCCGCGCCCTGCCTCTGACGCGGCCGCGCCCTGCCTCTGACGTGGCCGCGCCCTGCCTCTGACGCGGCCGCGCCCTTCCGCCGAAGCGGCCCCGCCCGGACGCCGACGCGGCCCCGCCAGCCCTGCAGCTGACGCGGCCCCGACCTGCCGCTGACGCGGCCCCGCCCTGCAGCTGCCGCGGCCCTACTCTGCAGCCGCTGCTGCGGCCCCGCCGTCGCCGCCGTCGTGCGCCTACCCTGCCGCCGCCCGCAGAGCGCCGGCCCTGCCCGCCACTGGTGAGCACCTGCCTTGTTCGCCCGCTGCCGCGCCTGCCTGCCTGCCTGCCTGCCTGCCTGCCTGCCGCGCCTGCCCTGCCCGCGCTGCTGCTGCTACTACTGCTACTGTTGCTACAGGCGGTGGCCAGATGCAGCTCCAGCGACGTCCGCGCGAGTCTCTCACGCCTCAGCAGCTTCGTGAGTGGTACGCTAGTTGGGGTTGTGGCGGTAGCCGTCGTGGCTGTCGCCTTGGAGCTGGTCAGTCGGGAGCGTCAGGCAGTGGCCAGCTGCAGCTACAGCGGCGTCCGCGCGAGACACTTACGTCCCAGCAGCTTCACGAGTGGTACGCTCAGAGTAGAGGGTCTTTGAGTACCGTTCGCTGCCCGTACGTCATTCACACAGGTGATCGGGCTGGTCAGGCTTGCGGGACGCTTGGTCACACACAGTCCCGCTGCTTCGCCCGTCTGAGCGACGCCTGGCGTACCGAGTTTAGCGACAAGGCTGAGCTCCCCACCTGGCTGGAGCTGCTTGGACAGAGGGTAGATATCTTTGCTCTTGACTATGATGGTATTCTCACTGCCATGTATGCATTGCCTACTAGTGCTGACCGTGCCTGTTACCTGTGCGTACCGCCTGACCCAGGTATAGAGCCTGCTGCTCTAGGTGCTAGTGAGGCTGCTGCTCTAGGTGCTAGTGCGTCTCCTGCTCTAGGTGTTGGTGAGGCTGCTGCTCCAGGTGCTGGTGAGTCTGCTCTCTCTGGTACTGCGCCTGCTAGGGCCTTGTACACCTTCACACTTGACTCAGGTGCTTCCCGCTCCTTCTTTCGCGACAGCACCACCCTCACGCCACTCCGTCGGCCGGTTGCAGTCTCCCTGGCAGACCCCTCTGGGGGTCCAGTCCTTGCGCAATCCTCCACGGTCCTGCCGTGTCCGGCGGTCCCGTCTGGCTCCCTGTCAGGTCTTCACCTCCCCTCGTTCTCTACGAACTTGGTGAGTGGAGCTGACCTACAGGATGTGTGGGTTGACCACTTCACCCCTGGAGGTCAGCGTGTGACCCACTGTATGTGCTCCCGGACTAGTCGGCACCTGGCCACGTTCACCCGAGCGCCTGGCTCGAGTCTGTACACACTCACCACTGTGTCCCCTCAGATAGCTGCGTCTGCGTCTGCGTTTGCGTCAGGTCAGCTAGCGGCCCCCTGCTCGTGTCGCGCTTTGTCGCACCAAACCCTCCTTTGGCACCACCGCCTTGGTCACCCCTCGGTGCAGCGCCTTCGTAGCATGCACCGCCGTTTCCTTGTCTCTGGACTTCCAGAGACGCTGCCTCCTCTACCACCCTCGCCTGCTCCTCCCTGTCTTCCCTGTGTCGAGGGGCGGCAGCGCGCCGCTCCTCACTCCTCCTCGTTCCCTCCCACAGAGGCTCCCCTGCAGACTCTCCACCTGGACGTGTGGGGCCCAGCCCGCGTCCGTGGACAGGGCCATGAGCGGTACTTCCTGCTGGTCGTCGACGACTACACGCGTTACACCACAGCCTTCCCCTTGCAGCGCAAGGGGGATGTCCCTGATGTTTTGATCCCCTGGATCCACACTGCTCGTCTCCAGCTCCGCGAGCGGTTCCAGTCGGACTTTCCTGTCCTGCGTCTGCACTCTGACAGAGGTGGTGCATTCTCCTCAGACCTCTTGGCAGCCTTCTGTGCGGAGCACGGCATCCGCCAGACGTTCACGCTTCCGGCCTCTCCGCAACATAATGGGGTTGCTGAGCGCCGCATTGGCTTAGTCATGGAGGTCGCTCGTACCTCCATGATCCATGCGGCTGCCCCCCATTTTCTGTGGCCGTTTGCAGTCCGGTACGCCACGCATCAGCTCAACCTCTGGCCCCGTGTCTCCTTACCGGAGACCTCGCCCACACTGCTGTGGACGTGGAAGGTTGGCGATGCGTCGCGTTTCCGGGTCTGGGGTGCTCGTGCCTTTGTCCGCGATACCACCGCGGACAAGCTCTCTGCCCGCGCTGTTCCCTGTGTCTTCCTTGGCTTTTTCCCTGACGCGCCTGGTAGGCAGTTTTACCACCCCACCTCGCGCCGTGTCTTCCCCTCTCAGGACGTCACGTTCGACGAGTCGGTTCCCTTTTACCGTCTCTTCCCCTACCGCACTGCCCCTCTCCCCCCCCGCCGCTCTTCCTCGCTCCAGGTGCTCCCCAGGTAGACCCCCTCCCCGCTCCCGGTCCTTCTCCTTCAGGTGTGTCTCAGGTAGACCCTCCTCCCTTGACTGCGCCGGTTGAGGTCACTGGTGACTCGGGTCCTGCTGAGGGTGGTCCTGCTTGGGGTGCTGCTTCTGGGGGTGCTGAGCCTGGGGGTGCGGAGCCTGGGGGTTCTGAGCCTGGGGGTGCTGAGCCTGGGGGTGCGGAGACTGGAGGTGCTGAGCCTGGGCGTGAGGAGTCTGGGGGTGCTGAGCCTGGGGGCGCTGAGGCGTCTGGTGAGCAGTCTCCCTGGAGCGGCCGTCTCCGTAGTCGCTCCGCTGGTGCCTCGCCGCTGCACTCTCGTCGTCGATCCCTCTCTCCCCACAGCAGCTGCTTGAGTGATACGTTGGCCATCAGGGTCGCGCTGCTGGAGCTAGGGGCCTTGTTGCGGGAGGCGCTGGAGCTGGTGACTCTGCTACTGGAGTTGTTTCTGCTGGAGGTTCTGGAGCTGCTGAGGGTGCTGGAGCTGGAGGTTCTGGAGCTGCTGGAGGTGCTGGCGCTGGTGGCGCTGGAGCTGGAGGTTCTGGAGCTGCTGGAGGTGCTGGCGCTGGTGGCGCTGGAGCTGGAGGTTCTGGAGCTTCTGAGGGTGCTGGCACTGGAGATTCTGGAGCTGCTGCGGGTGCTGGCGCTGAGGGTTCTGAGTCTGCTGTTACGCGGTCTCCTTGGAGTAGCCGCCTTCGTCCGCGTGTGCCTCTCACCTCACAGCAGCTGCACGACTGGTACGGTCGCCTCAGGGTCGCGCTTCTGGAGCTCGGGGCTCTGCCGCTGGAGGTACTTCTGCTGACGTCACTGGAGCTGGGAGTGGTGCTGGTCCCGGAGGTGCTCGTACTGGAGGTACTGGAGCTGCTGGGGCTGGAGGTGCTGAGCCTGAGGGTGCTACTGCTGGAGACCCTGGGT